CTGGGGCCCCTCACCACCCCTCCATCCAGCACCTGCAGCCTCCCCACGACCCCCACGAGCAGGTTCCCAGTCCCCACTGCTGGCGATGCTGTGCAGGATCACATCCAAGTGCTCAGGCAGCTGAAAGACCAGGCACAGATGAGCCCCGCTGATTTCTCCTGCATCCTAGCCTACACCACAAAGCTCCAGGAGGTCGTGGGGAAGATCTCTGGGAATCAGGTGATGCACCTCCAAGAGCAGTGTGCAGAGCAGGGCGCAGAGAGCAAGGGTGCCCTGGGCTGGGCGTCCCAGGACCTGCTGTCCAGCTGCCAGGCGCTGCTGGACACGGAGCAGCCCCTCGCAGAGGTGCAGGGGGCGCGGGTCACGTTTGGCTGCCTGGTTCACCTGGCAGTGACCTGCTTCCAGGTGACACACTGCTGGCAGTGCAGGCAGAGGCAGCAGGAGCTGGGGGCTGCGCTGGGGGACGTGGTGAGCACCTACCAGCAGCTGGTGCAGGCTATGCACCAGCAGCTCCGCGGGCAGGGCTGCCCAGAGCTGGGCACCACACTCCTTGCCCACAGGCACACAGGCCTCTCAGCTGCTGTCTTCTGCCTCCTGCAGCAGGTTGGGTCACCCCCGTGGCCCTGACAGGCTGGTGGGGGCACATGAGGGCATGGGGTGGGGGAAGAGCCCAGCTGTGTGCCCTCTGTCCACCCCAGGCTCTCCCCCCCCGGCAACGTTTAGCTCCCACAGCTCCAGAGTGGCCATGGGAGGAGGTGTCCACACCTTGGCTGGGCTCCCTGCAAGCTGCTGTGCCCAGAGGTGCTCTTAGAGCACTTTAGCAGCGTGTGTGCTCTGTCAAGGGCTGATCCCTCACCTCCCAGAGGCTGTGTGGGTGGCCAAGCTCAGGGTGTCTCGGCTGCCTGGAGTCACCCTGGGGAGGGATGGGAACCTCTCACCTGCTCCTGGCTCTCCAGGCAGGCTCCGGAGCAGAGAGACTTCAAACCCCACCTTGTCCTAAAGTGACTTTATTCACCTTTCTTGGCCAAGGGAACACAGTGATCCATTCAACTGCTTTCCTGTGTAAGGTCAGAAGAGGTCGTCCTGGGGCAGGGAGGCAGCACCACTGCTCCACTGAGGCTCCTGTGTTAGCAGCTTCTCCGGACAGGTGAGAGCTCTTCCCTGGGTGAGACAGTCCCTGACTGACCTCCCACTCCATGCTGCTCATAGTATCTGCGAGAAGGACTGAGCAAACCCCAGGACTGAACAGCCACGGTCACAGCCATGACCCTCACGCTGCCTCCCTGAGTGAGGACCAGCTCCTCTCCCCAGCACCCTTAACAGCTCTCCCATCAGGGGTGGTACTCCCTGGCCAGGTATGGGCTGTGCAGGTGGTCTCACCGTGCATCCCAGTGCCCTTGGGTGGAGGGGGCAGAGCCAGTCCCTCATTGCAGGGGTCTAACCCAGGGGCTGTTGCCTTTCCCTGAGAAGCTGTCACTGCAGCTCAGCCTGCTCAGGGTCAGGGGGGTCTGCACTGCTCTGAGGTGCAGGGATGGGCACCACCTCTCCTCAGGCACATCCCCTGGCTCTGGGACACCCCCAGGGCTTGCTGAGGGGTGTCCCAGGGCACAGCAGCAGGCACTGGACGCCCTGAGCCCCACAACAGCTGCAGCCTCACCAGGCATGAGCCCCAGCCATGAGAGGCTCTTGCTGTGAAAGAGAAATGAAAACACATTACCAAACCTATCTTACCTTCAGGCCCTGCTGCCGTGGCTGAGACACAGTTAGTGCCCAAGTGGTTTTGGGGATCTTCTAGCAGCAATGGCTGAGGTAACACACCGGCTGAGCTGCAGCAAACACACTCCCTGCTGTGGCTGTGGGACAGGTCACAGCTCTCTCTGCAGGGCACAGCCAACCCCAGATACCTCCTGGCACTGACACCAGGGTCAGGAACCTGTGTGCCTCGTGAGACGAGGTACCACATATCACAACTGCAGGGATACAACCGGGGATAAACGCTTTATTTTAGATCAGATGTACAGGATTAGCTTCTACAGCTCACCAAGTCTTCACCCACTGCTCCTGGGGGCTCTTTCTCCATTGGGGAATCACTCCCATCCCACGGTCTGTGAGAGCAGCACTGTCCTGCCCCACAGGAAGGGATTTTCCTTGCCTTCGAGCTTTGCAATCCTCACTCCACACTACTCACTGTTTAACCAAAGTGAGGGAAGCACCTTAAAGCTCTCCTGCCCATCCCAGAACAAGTGTAGGTGCAGGAGGCACAAACAAACAGCTACAATGAAACCAAACTGAACTCCTGTCAGTTTCCACTGGATCCCAGGCTGCAGCAGCTTTTGTTTCCTGCCCATGGGGATGTCCAGCGTAGCACTGCTGAGATAGCTGTTGCTCGACCAGGGCCTCGTGCAGCTGGAGGCAGAGCTGTGCTGCCTGTGCAGTCACACCGATGCCTTCTGCACCTCATGGTGACACACAGAGCCTCCTCGGGGGGCAGAGTACTGAGGTGTGTGTCCCTGTCCCGCTCCATCCGGCAACACATAGCCTTTCCCAGAGGAGACTCCGGCCCTCAGGGCTGCAGGCCAGCTCCGCGTCTCATAGTAGGTGCACAGGATGTCAAAGACTGCCAGGAGCAGAGAGGCCCCGTGTCCCACACGAGCTCTGACACCTGTGCCAGTAGCTCTGCACACAATGAGTGGCTGCCCAGCACCAGGGAGGGGTGAGAGCCTGGGCACTGCATTCCCCCACTTAACCCCTACTGAGACCATGCTTGGGGCCATGCACCGGGGGCAGACAGGTGTTTGGGGAAGACTTCAGAGAGCTCTGGGCAAACCACAGGCTGTGTCACCTCGAGCAAGGTGCCCTGGTCACTGTTTTGGCCGAGCTGCAGTGGGCTACACCTGCTGTGCGTCTACCATCACTCCCAGGTGCTGGACACATGGAGCTTTGCAGAGCCCTCAGCTACCTCCTCTGCCTTGTGCTAACACAGGAGGCAACACAGTCCTCACACAGGGGCTAAGAGCCTCCCAGAGCTGTTTTTTGCAGACAGGTGCTCACCTGGCAGAGGTGGGGAAGCATGAGCACAGCCACTGCAGTGATCAGGTGTGCCGGCCCGTGGTCACGGCATGAAGCTGTGACAGTGGTACAGGATACCTACACCCCACCCTGGTGCTGTGAGCCCAAGCTGAGCCTGGCACAGGCCCAAAACTTCCCGCAGCTGTAGGAGCATATCCCTCCCACAGCCTGCCCCGTGCACAGCTCCCCTGGAAAGCACAGGGACCTCAGGGAGCACAGGGATCACACCTGGTGAGAGAACCTCTGCCTCAGCACACCTGGCAAGAGGAACCTCTGCTCCACCACACCTGGCGAGAGGAACCTCTGCCCCCACGTTTCCTCTGCGGCCGCCCCAGCCCCTGCGCAGCCCCTCACCCTGGTTGATGGCCAGTGTCTTGGAGTGGTAGTTCCTGGGGTTGGGGGCTTTGACCATGTACTCCTGGATGGGGAGGCGAGCTGTCTGCAGGCACTGCTCCTGCGCCCTCCGCAGTGTCAGGTTTTTCGGACACGCTGCCACAGAGCCAGCACTGTACTGGGGCTTGTGCCACAGGCTGCTGCAGGTGCTGGGCCCAGGCAAGGTGTGAGGGAAAAGGGATGGGGGCAGCAGTGCTGGGATGTCTCTGCTCTCGTGAGCAGGCAGCACCCACCTTATGAATGCTCTCATCCACCAGCCCTCCCAGCACGTACACCTTATCCGGGTCAATGTCTTCAAGGACTAGAAACAGGACATGCACCTGCTCAGCACCACGTGGCAGTAAATGCTGCAGGACACTGTTCTCTGAGCAGACACCACATCCATGGGCAGTGGTGGGCAAAGCCCCTCACCCCAAGGCTGAGGCCCAGAGGAACAGAGGTAGCACCAGGGCTGAGCAGGAGCGTCTCATGTGCTGTGAGACAGGCAATATGAGCAACCAACTCACCTGCAGCACCAAATGGTCTCAGAAAGAACAGTCAACCTTTGGCCCTCAGTTCCCCTTGCCTAAAGCACGTGGAATATTTACCATTCTGAGAGTCAGGAGTGAGGTAAATGATGGCATCCAATGGGAACAGGTCCAGGTAACTCTCTGGAGTTGTATCCATCTGAAAAACACAAGACGGGGAAAAGCAGCCCATTAGCTCTATGTCCATCTGCCAGAACAAAACACTCTCCCAGGCACAGAAATACCCTGGGGCTGACGCTTCTGCTTTGGATGTATAACCTCCCCTAAGTACAGCAGTTTTGGGGTGGTTCTTTGAGTAGAAAATGTTTCTGTACAAGCACTGAACAATATCTGAAACTCCATTAAATTCTTTTCTCACCAAAAGTCCTCGATGTGGTGTGAGGAAGGGAGAGTGGCACAACAATTACTGATAGATATTGTTCTGTACAAGCACTGAACAATATCTGAAACTCCATTAAATTCTTTTCTCACCAAAAGTCCTCGATGTGGTGTGAGGAAGGGAGAGTGGCACAACAATTACTGATGTGATTCAAATGCTTCAGAGACTCGGGAGTCCCCACCGCGAGTGTTTCCCTCCCCTCACCGTCCCCCCGGAGGAACTGCGGAGCGCACAGCCCTCCCCGCGCTGCCTGACCCGCAGACCCTCACCAGGTAGCGGGCAAAGCCGTCGTTCATGCGGAGGCACTGCTCGTGGATCCGCGACCCCGGCACGAACTCTGTCAGGCACAGCCAGAAGGGCC